GGGGGTACAGTTGGGACTGTTATGAGACGTCTGAGTGCAGGCTGGCAGTGTGTCTGCTGCTGGTTTGGGAGTCATTACCAGTGAAAATGTCATGAAATATCATCTGCTGATGTAACAGGATAAACGGATTGAGAAAATGAGCTCGTCGCCTCTGACTGGTTGGTGATGATGGGCAATTTGAAGGTCTTCTGCTCAGATGAAGGTGAAGATTGAAGATTCACCTTTCATCTGAACTTTCGGGCCAAAGTGGACATTTATGTTCTGGGTGAAATGGGCTGGACCTGACGCAACTGTTCTCCACTACAGAACAGTACATGTACACATGTTTGCTCAGGTGCTGCTTGAGTAGAATAAAATCAAAGCGTAGAACTCCAAATTCTTCTCTTAAGCACCTTTTCCATTATTTAATTCTAAATCTTTACTTTGCTTGCCTCATATGGACAAAATCGGTCGCTTTGTGATTCTAAAACAGCCTTTTTGAGCAGTTTACCTTTTGCACCAGTTGTATAATCTCTATAATAGTTCTGATTCGGAGCTATTCAGATAATGGTAGTGTTAAAAATAAACTGTCAGGGCTGGTGTTGTGCAAAGTAGGGTCTACTAATTTTTGCTTTTATCACACCAGCGTGGCAGATCTGTAGTTTTTTTTTTTTTTTTAAGTGAGAGGAAAGTGGGAGAAAATATAGAGAACTTGATTCTGGAGCAATAAAATGAGTAAAAAAAACCCTAAAAAAAATGTGTTTTTTTTTTACTTGTTAATGGCTGACTTAAGACTAATGGTTGCTTCCAGCACAATCAAATCAGATTTTATTCATCTTTGGCTTCACTGAAGTTTGGATACTGATTACTAAGTGACTCTCGTGCTACTTTACTGCCTTCTCTCAGCAGGATGGATAGATGTGCTAACTAGATCACTTGAGTAGCTTTCAGTGTCAGAAAGCCAGCACCGTTGAGAAGAAAACATCTGATAGCTGGTTTTGGGTCCATTTTCAATTCAGTGGATTCATTCGAAAATCCAAAAATTGAATCCAAAAAAAGTGTTTTTCAGTGAGTCTGAGTTGAATGTTAAAGGCTCAAAAGTATTTTCATTAATACAACATATCTCCAATATCTCAATATCTCAACATATCTAATGTGAGGTTACAGTACATCACCTCACTGCAGTAATACAATATCAATTATATAGTACTTAACATAATAGCCTAATACTATAATGCAGACCTATTTGGTCCTTCTGAGCAGTGGTTACTCAAATGTAAAAGGAAATTCTCTGTTGATCTTGAGTCAGTTGTATTTTGGTTTTGTGTGTCTCTTGTTTGCTGTCTCATCTGCCAGTAAGGGGTGAGTGTTGCATATTCTTCTTGTCGCTTAGATTTTGAGCTGTAAAGATATTTAAATGCCTGTTTATGTCTTTCAAGCTTCATTCAAAGAAATGTGCCATCTTCACCCACATCACTCATTGTCGTTCACAATGTCATGCTGCTGCGCTGGCGAACCTCACTGTGCACCTGTTTTTAACTTTCATGTGGTGTGCCAAAACAGTTGTAAAGGTCTTAAAAAGATGTGCTGAAACATGCAACTGCTGAGAAACTGATGCTTTTTAATTGGTGAGAAAGCATAAAATTGGCACTGTGACACAAACTATAACGACAGAAAAATTTGTGTGATACCCAAAATGGAGAAAACTGTTTTCAGTGGAAATTACTCTTATGGTTGTGATTCAAAATACAGCAACAAAGAATGTAAAACTTCACTTCACACTGAGTTCATCCAAAGTGTTGCACTGTTGTTTCTACCTCAGTTATGATGCTGTCAACACTTTGAGGCAATACAGATGGACAGTTTTTCTCTTTAGACCAACCCGAGGGAACCCGTAGAGCTGCAACCATTAGTCGATTTAATAGATTAGCCAATTGACAGAGAAATAATCGCCTGTTATTAAGGTTCATTTATCAGGCAAAAAGGGCAAAAATGTGCAGGTTACAGCTTCTCAAAATGGATAATTTGCTGCTTTTCTGTTTCATATCATTGTAAATTTAATATATTTGGGTTTTGGACAGTTTGTGGAACAAAAAAACCAGTTTGAAAATTTCTTTTCTGGACAAATCACAATTATTTTCTGACATTTAGTAGACTTGGATATGAATAGATTCATCACAAAATGTACAGATTATTTGATAATTGTTAGGGAAATCTGTAAAACTCCAGTGTTTACTTTCTTATCGTGTCTTTCTGAGGAGGTTATTGAAGTACATAACCACAAATGACTTGAACATCAGTGAACCTCAAACATTCACGTTTGATTAAAAGACAACTTCCCTGCTGTATTTATAAACCTCTGTTCTGTAGTTGTGGTCAGGAAACGAGCATTATCAGTCATCAGCTGCTGACATATGCGGCTACTGTCTGCTATTTGATAAATCAGACTTTCATATTGGTAACCACATCATTAACAGCTCTTTGCAGATTTGCATTATTTTCCGCTTGCATTGCCTCAAAGACAAACGACTTTCTTGTAACATCTCTCAAGGCTTTAATGGATTAAAATCCAATTTGTGGCCAATATTTTTGATCAGTGCACTGTTGTGGCCGCCTCATTGTTTCAGTATTTTGTTTGTGCCATCTGCTAAAGCTACCGCACACTCAAGCGCTGACATTTTTACTGTGAGTTAATTAATCTGTTTACTGTTAAAAGGACTCAAAGGTGAAAGCGCCCTTAGTGATAAATTCAGAAATGTAGTTAATCAAAAGGGGTTGTTTTAGGAAATCAGGGCATAATTCTCTCAGTTCACAGGACTCTTCTTTCACACTGCCTTCACTTTAATTATCACACTGAAATGCAGAAACACAGCACACTTTGACTTTGTTGGTTTTTTGAGGTTGTACAGAATTAAACCAGTTGTCATTATTCTCTGAGATGTCATCAGCATCAAAGTTATCAGGGAAGAAATAAAGAATATTCAGAATTCGTATCTTTTGCATTGTCTGTCTTGTTTTATCTTCACAGCTGTACTTTTCTCTGTTCCGAAGAAGATATCCAGAGGCCGTGATCCAAAAACACATTTAATTTATTATAGTCTTCTTACGCATCCAGCGCCAGTCGTGACTGATGAAACATTGATATTGGAAATTTACATTTTGTTTTCCTCCAGTCTTTTTCATGTAGCGTTAAAACAAAAGCTTGGCCGAGATGTGATATATCCGGTTATTATTTTCATTGTTGTTTTCTTTGAAAGGATCACAGCAGAGTGTGAGTCAACAAGCAAAGACAACATCCTCATAATTGAAGCCTATTATCTCACATCTCACTTTTTTTTTTGTTTTTTTTCATAATGGATTTGTCTTATCTGGCTTCTCCATGGGGGAAGTTACATTTATTCACAGAATTGCTGCTTACAGCCTTTCTGGTTGGATGGTTTAAAGAGAAGACATGAGCAGACTTATGTTACTTAGGTAAATTGACCTGCTGACACAGATACAGATATTTGAATGTAGGTTACATACGTAACATCATCATCACATATTGTCACGTAAAATCACTTCAGGACTGTATTCAGGCTAATTTAAAAACATTGAAAAGATCTAAATGTAACATAAGAAATTGTGGACTTCCTTTGAAATAAACTAAGTTCCTCTGTGATGATGTTTTCACATTGTTATGTAAAATACTTTCTCACAGTTGTATTTTTTCCTTGAAATATATATTATTTACCAACCCTGCACAGGATAAGAGGTTTAGAGAATGGATATTTTTATTACCATATTCATGGCACAGTTATGAGGATTAGTTAGTTAAAAAATGTACGACACCATTGTTGGATTGGATACTGAACAATGTACAGTAGGCAAATCTGAAGGGTCAAAAGATGATTAACAGAATAGGAAAGCAGATAATAAATATTACACTAGATTATGTTTATTTTGTCAGACTATCCTTTAATCTGCTTATTTTCTTGCGAATTACGCATAACTTTATACATATACAGTGCACTATATTTTAAGGCGTTTCTTTTCATTTATTCTTGTAAATGAGATGGACAAAATATTGTAACACACCTTTCAGTATACTGTAATGCAGTCCAATACGGCACCACAAAGTGTAGCCTCACAACAAGCCGTAAAGCTGAATTAACACTCAAGCAAGCATTTCAGGTACGTTGCTGTTAATCACAGGGTTGTTGTAAAGCTGCACTGCAAGCTCTGCCAGTCAAAGAAGCAATATAATGTGTGACAAGTAATGAAAAACAACATGTGTGATTGACAGTGTGTAACAATCTTATTTCTGTTTAAGTGAGGCTTGCACGTTAACTGACTGGTGTACCCTGCAATCAGTCAACCTGTGATTAGCTGTGATACCGATGAGAAAAATGAGCAGTCGTGCTTGGTTGTAACTCCTCCTCGCATGTTGTTAAGGCGAGGCGGAATATGCACATCAAGGATTGATGTGTCCCATTCTCCTTAATCATGAAGAGGCTGAAAAGATTTCACTGAACACTTACCTGTGTCAGGTCATTTTAATGTTTGTGTAAACTATTCATGTTGAGGTTTTGACTTTTGAACCTTATGAAGTCAGACAGGTTAGTGACGTAGTAAAAACTAAAATCAATGTTATTGTTGCACTTTTCATATGTTATTTGCTGGTTATGAAGCAGTTTCGAGCCCATTGTTTATGTCAGTTTCACCAAAAGGTTCACAGATTTAACCGATTATAAAGAGCTGTTACATTCACTGAACCTCGATTCTTCATGTAAATATAATACATCATAAATCTCGAAGGTAATAACTTACCAAATGTCTCCCTAGTTATCCTGAAAAAAAGTGGAGGAAGTACAAAAACGCAGTTGTTTGTGGCAAAAAAATGTTGTAAGAAGATGTATTTTGGATTGTGCGG